CCACCTTCATACTACTTTGATTTATGAAGAAGGAACATGTGAGAATTTGACTACATCCATAAAGACAAAGCCTTTAAAAGTTGGCAAACTCGTTTTTGTAAAGCATATCACACTTTCTCATTCATTACGTAATTTATATTTAGACAGGATTCCAGGGAAAACATTTTCTGCTAGTAAAAATGCTATTTTTAGCCAAATTGTCCCAAGGAAGTCTATCAGACAATGTGAGTACAGCAGGATAACACACAGAAGCCACAGGACTTATTCAGCATCGCAAGGATCTTGCTGTGCTTCACTCCCCTGCAGTGCAGTGGGTACAACTTACACAGGCAGTTCTACCACTGTGCTGTTGTGCTATGTTCTCACACAATATCATAAGGACACAGAAATTCTCATCCTTGCTAGTGAAAGAGGTTCTGGCTGTCCCTAAATGTTAAATGCCACCTGCTGTAATACAAAAAGTATTTGCAATATGGGGTTACCATGCTTTGTGTCACTGTAAGACCAATCACAACCAAAAAACCCTCCAAGGATAAGAAATTTAGTTTAGAAGTGCAAATATCCTTGTCATAATCTAGATCAATTTCCTTAAAGTTTAATGGAAAAAAATTCTGATAAGATAGCAGGGACATAAATCTATTTATTCTCCAGCAGTCAAGCTTCAGAAGTTTATTGGTTCATTAATTCCATGATAATTACAAAATCATACTACAAAATATATTATTTTGAGTCTTTATCCCATTAATTTTTAATTAGAATTTACCTGTATTTATTTATAGACAAAATGGCTTCCAATTTCTATACCAAATGTTACAAATTTGGTACAAATCGTCTAGGTACAAATCGTCATGCAAACACTATGAATAACAATTCATACCAACTGTGTGCTGAGTATCACCCTTAATTAATGAGCCTAAAATTTTATAAGGGCAGACCAGGAATGTTAGTTACACATCTGCTCTACGTCTGACACGGTGCTAGATGTTTTAATCAGAGCTCACTTATTAGTTTTAATCTGGTTACATTATACATTATTTCTCTTTTACCTTAGTTCACAGTCTGTGTTGCACCTTTCCGTGAGAAACAATGGAAGTGGCAAGTGGTCACACCTTTGATCAGACACAACCATTCGATCACTCTTACGTATGCAGGTCATTTTTCTTCTGTGAAGACCTTGGCCAAAGTTGAATGAAAATTAAAGATGAAAGGAAAATTCACATAAGTAGATGTTCCATAATTATTTAATTCTGGTAATACCCTAAGGAGGTCAGCTAAGCAAGCAAAATTTTCCAACACAACATACAGGATATACTAGTAGATTAATGACTTTTTATCATAAGTAAGCTGCATCCTGAATGATTGAGGAGTGTGCTTTGTGAAGAGATGTAAGGAAGATGGGACAGGTATGGAACAGAAATTAATTCATTATATCTCACAGAGTGACTGGTGGTGAGAACTGAGTAGCTAGGGACAGAAACTATATTGTTATTCATTATTTTTGTGTTCATTCCCATAAGGAAATTACACACACATACTTGCTCTCATGTTACAGTAATTCCTGTGGTAGCAGAACTCTGCCCTGTTCATTGCCATCAAGCTTATACCAACGGACTATAATGGGACGAGACTATTCTAAACCCAACCCACTCTCTTTCCCTCTTCCCTGTGCCTCCAGAACAGCATCTTCTAGACAGGGCTAGAATCATGAATGAAAAAGACACAGACAAATAATAAGAGAAAGATCACTGGGTGTGGCACCCTTAGCTCAGCAGTTAGGGTGCCGGTCACTGGCACTAGGGTTGGTGGGTTCAAATCTGGCCCAACCCTGCTAAACAAACAAACAACAACAAACAAAACTGGCATAGTGGGGAGTGCCTGTAGTCCCAGCTACTAGGGAGGCTAAGGTAAGAGAATCGCTTGAGCCCAAGATTTTGAGGTTGCTGTGAGCTGTGATGCCACAGCACTCTATTGAGTGTGACACAGGAAAGGAGAAAGGAAAGCAGCAGTAATGGAGAATGTGGCCAAGGGTAGCATTAAATGGGGCTGTTAAGTATTAGAAGCAGAAAGATCCAGTAAGGAGAAAAGCAAAAAGAGAAAGGAGATGAGAAACTTTTGTCATGACTGTGTGGATGTGCAGGGACAGTGGGGAGGACACTGGCATCCAGACTCAAAAGCACCCCAAATGACACCACCCATCCAGCCAAACTTCTGCCTCTTATTTAATGAATTCCACTGTACCTTGACACATTTTGGTACAGTCTTGCCACGGTCCATATGGATCCCAGGTGAACAGGTCACCCCTCTCATCTACAGGGACACTGAAGGAATAACGTACGTCAGGATTGTACAAATTACCCACACACAATACCTACATGGAAATACAAAAGAACATATGATTAATTCATAAAAGGTAAATTATTAAGACATCACCTTTATAGTCAATAACAAATGTTAAATACTGAGCTAGTAGTTTACCACAATGATGGAAGCTAAGTTTTACTAATAACTACTGAGAACTCACCTGCAAAATAAGTTCTTCCTCTAGTCGATCAGTACTATTAATTCTTTCAATTGAGTTGTTTGAACCACTGTATTCAAAAATAGCTCCTTGCACATTGATTTCTTTTTTTGACATACTGACAACAAAATGACCATTCAAAAGAAAATTCCCTTGAGTGTCAGACAATGCTGTGAAAGAATAAAACATTACTAATGAAATAGTAAAATTAACCAAGAGTATTAAAAATACTTTATCATTTTATTTTTCATTTAAGAGACGGGGTCTCACTCTATTGCCTAGGCTGCTGGGGTTCCATGGCATGATCACAGCTTATTACAGCCTTAAATTTCTAGGCTCAAGCAATCTTCCCACCTCAACCTTCTACGTAGCTGGAACTACAGGAATGTGCCAACAGGCACAGCTTATTAATTTTCTGTAGAGATGTCATCTCACCATGTTGAGGTGACCCAGGCTTGTCTCAAACTTCTGGGCTCAGGCTATCCTCTTGTCTCAGCCTCCTAGAGTACTTGGTTGCAGGCTTAAGCCACTACATGAGGCCTATTTTAACTTCTTAAATTCACATATTTTTTGAATTAAAGAATATAAATATCCATTAATGAAATTAATCTTATTTAACTGTAATGTGGGATCTAACCTATAAGCAGGGAAACATCAACAGACCAGCCAAAGATATTAAAATAAATCCACTCTCCTTCCCTGATGCAGGCAACTTCAGAAGGGACGCACAGAAAGTGTGAAAACAGAAAGAAGTCTCAACTTCAGCAGACAGATCTGTTCAATTAATCCTGGTCATCAATGGTAAGGAAAGAAAGAACAGCCAGGCTACCACAACATTTCATTCATGCTTAACTTAGAAAAAGTACAAGGCTTTAAAAATCCAGGGTCAATAATACAAACGTTTATACCAATGATTTTCAACCAATATACTGTGGAATACAAGTGTGCGGTGGAAGGCCCTTATGTGTGCCATGAACATTTCTAAAGATCATTAATTAAATTATTGTGAAAGAAGTTCAAAGCGCAGTAAGTACATTCTTTTTTAAATTCCTTTAATTGATCAACATAATTTGAGTGTACTGCAGAAGTTCCACTATAGGTTCAAGTATTACATGAGATAAAATAGGTCGAAAGACACTGGTCTAGACTCTCCTCTATAGGAGGGCTAGATTATTCATGGAGAGGCATTCTACCACTGAATGACACTGGTCTAGACTCTT